CAATAAAATTACAAATGGATAAGGAGATGTTACAGCAGACACTGCAGAAATACAAAGCATCTTAAGAGACTACTACAAGCAACTCTATGCCAATAAAATGGACAACCTGGAAGAAATGGACAAATTCTTAGAAAGGTATAATCTTCCAAGACTGAACCAGGAAGAAATAGAAAATATGAACAGACCAATCACAAGTAATGAAATTGAAACTGTGATGAAAAATCTTGCAACAGGGCTTCCCTGGTGGTGCAGTGGTTGAGAGTCCGCCTGCCGATGCAGGGGACACGGGTTCGTGCCCCAGTCCGGGAGGATCCCACATACCGTGAAGTGGCTGGGCCCATAAGCCATGGCTGCTGAGCCTGCGCGTCCGGAGCCTGCGCTCCGCAACGGGAAAGGCCACAACCGTGAGAGGCCCGCATAGCGCAAAAAAAAAAAAAAAAAATCTTCCAACAAACAAAAGCCCAGGACCAGATGTCTTCACAGGTGAATTCTATCAAACATTTAGAGAAGACCTAACACCCATCCTTCTTAAACTCTTCCAAAAAATTGCAGAGGAAGGAACACTCCCAAACACATTCTATGAGGCCACCATCACCCTGATACCAAAACCAGACAAAGATACTACAAGAAAAGAATATTACACACCAATATCACTGATAAATATAGATGCAAAAATCCTCAACAAAATGCTAGCAAACACAATCCAACAACACATTAAAAGGATCACACTCCATGATTAAGTTGGATTTATCCCAGCAATGCAAGGATTCTTCAATATACGCAAATCAATCAATGTGATACACCATATTAACAAACTGAAGAATAAAAACCATATGATCATCTCAATAGATGCAGAAAAAGCTTTTGACAAAATTCAACACCAATTTATGATAAAAACTCTCCAGAAAGTGGGCATAGAGGGAACCTACCTCAACATAATAAAGGCCATATACGGCAAACCCACACCCAACATTGTTCTCAATGGTGAAAAACTGAAAGCATTTCCTCTAAGATCAGGAACAAGACAAGGATGTCCACTCTCACCACTGTTATTCAACATAGTTTTGGAAGACCTAGCCACGGCAATCAGAGAAGAAAAAGAAATAAAAGGAATACAAATTGGAAAAGAAGAAGTAAAAGTGTCACTGTTTGCAGATGACATGATACTATACATAGAGAATCCTAAAGATGCCACCAGGAAACTACTAGAGCTAATCAATGAATTTGGTAAAGTAGCAGGATACAAAATTAATGCACAGAAATCTCTTGCATTCCTATACACTAATGATGAAAAATCTGAAAGAGAAATTAAGGAAACACTCCCATTTACTGTTGCAACAAAAAGAATAAAATACCTAGGAATAAACCTACCTAGGGAGACAAAAGACCTGTATGCAGAATACTATAAGACACTGATGAAAGAAATTAAAGATGATACCAACAGATGGAGAGATATACCATGTTCTTGGATTGGAAGAATCAATGTTGTGAAAATGACTATACTACCCAAAGCAATCTACAGATTCAGTGCAATCCCTATCAAATTACCAATGGCATTTTTTACAGAACTAGAACAAAAAATCTTAAAATTTGTAAGGAGACCTAAAAGACCCCGAATAGCCAAAGCAGTCTTGTGGGAAAAAAGCGGAGCTGGAGGAATCAGACTCCCTGACTTCAGACTATACTACAAAGCTACAGTAATCAACACAGTATGGTACTGGCAGAAAAACAAAAACATAGATCAATGGAACAAGATAGAAAGCCCAGAGATAAACCCACGCACCTATGGTCAACTAATATATGACAAAGGAGGCAAGGATATACAATGGAGAAAAGACAGTCTCTTCAATAAGTGGTGCTGGAAAAACTGGACAGCTACATGTAAAAGAATGAAATTAGGCCACTCCCTAACACCATACACAAAAATAAACTCAAAATGGATTAGAGACCTAAATGTAAGACCAGACATTATAAAACTCTTAGAGGAAAACATAGGCAGAACACTCTATGACATAAATCACTGCAAGATCCTTTTTGACCCACCTCCTAGAGAAATGGAAATAAAAACAAAAATAAACAAATGGGACCTAATGAAACTTCAAAGCTTTTGTACAGCAAAGGATACCATAAACAAGAGGAAAAGACAACCCTCAGAATGGGAGAAAATATTTGCAAACGAATCAATGGACAAAGGATTAATCTGCCAAATATATAAACAGCTCATGCAGCTTAAAATTAAAAAAAACAAACAACCCAATCCAAAAATGGGCAGAAGACCTAAATAGACATTTCTCCAAAGAAGACATACAGATGGCCAAGAAGCACATGAAAAGCTGCTCAACATCACTAATTATTAGAGAAATGCAAATCAAAAGTACAATGAGGTATCACCTCACACCAGTTAGAATGGGCATCATCAAAAAATCTACAAACAACAAATGCTGGAGAGGGTGTGGAGAAAAGGGAACCCTCTTGCATTGTTGGTGGGAATGTAAATTGATACAGCCAGTATGGAGAACAGTATAGAGGTTCCTTAAAAAACTAAAAATAGAATTACCATATGATCCAGCAATCCCACTACTGGACATATACCCTGAGAAAACCATAATTCAAAAGGATACACGCACCCCAATGTTCATTGCAGCACTATTTACAATAGCCAGGTCATGGAAGCAACCTAAATGCCCATTGACAGACGAATGGATAAAGAAGATGTGGTACATATATACAATGGAATATTACTCAGCCATAAAAAGGAACAAAATTGTGTCATTTGTTGAGATGTGGATGGATCTAGAGACTGTCTTACAGAGTGAAGTAAGTCAGAAAGGGAAAAACAAATATCGTATATTAATGCATGTATGTGGATCCTAGAAAAATGGTACAGATCAACCGATTTGCAGGGCAGAATTTGAGAGACAGATGTAGAGAACAAAGGTATTGACACCAAGCTGGGAAAGTGGTGGTGGGGGTGGGGGTGGGGGTGTGATGAATTGGGCGATTGGGATTGACATGTATACACTGATGTGTATAAAACTGATGTCTAATAAGAACCTGCTGTATAAAAAAATAAATATAATAAAATTCAAAAATAAAAGAAAGAAGATCCTGTTGTTTTGTTTATCCAAATAATGGCCTTATTTCTTCACTTTTCTTTGCCATTTAAGACTCAGTCAGTGAAATGAAGGAAAATATTTTGCTTACAGAAAACACCTTGTAAGGGCTCTCTGAAATCCAAGAGGTTTCTTTTTATTAGCTGTTGATGAGTGGATGTATTTGTCTATTTGCATCCTAGGGAGTAATGAACTACAATAACAGAGTTAATTAATACTTGTGGTGCATAAAGATAAATGGTTACCCCAAGGTTAGTCTGAAAGGGGAGAAGGGTGCTAATCTTATTCATCTCAGATACCTGAGAGTTCATTTATATTTAGAGTAAAGATATTCTTTTTTACTGACACTGTGGTGCAATCTTATATTCTGGAGATGTCAGTGTGAAATGATCTGGGATTTTGAGATGAATCCTGAATAAATAAATAAATATATGGAACACACACACACACACACACACACACACACACACATTCCTATGTGGAATATACCTGTGGGAGTACAGGGCACAGGAAAGTTTTAATCTTAACATTTACAGTGGTCATTCTAATGATAAAGATGGTATCCATCAGATGAATAGCAGGGAATACTGACATAATTGACCTCTGTACTTTTGGCTCCCTCTGGGTGGAATGAAGAAAGGATGTGCAAAAATGCAGTCTGGTAATTTTTGTGCTTATTTTCAAGGCTAGTTTAGGGGTTAGAGTTCTAGAATAGGAGCCAATTGTCATGAGGTCTTTTCTCAGTACTACCAGTGATTTTTCAGGTCATTTGACTTCTGAGTCAAATCTGTAAGGGAGATGTGAGAACTGCCACTTGCTCCAATGGTAGTATGATTTGAGCATACAAACTTTCATGTCTTGGATGATAAATCAATTGAAACAGACTCTGCAGACTAGAATGATGCCCTAGTGGCATGGGAGATGATTAGCAATTTAGACAATGAAAGCATTTTATCATTGTAATATTTTTGGCATCAAAATCTTTTGTGCCCAATAATATTACTTACCATTTTAGGGTTTAGGATTAAGCTAAAATCCCCCAAACTGGTACCTTAATGCACTGATATCACATGCACCTTAGAAGAGAATGCAGTTCTAAAGATTTCTTGCTTTTTATATATTAGTAGTGCATCAAAACACAGTGCTATATTGAGAAATGTTTAGACCATATTTATAAAGAAATGAAGTCGCAGCAAGAGCCACTTTGAATACACCTTTGGAATTTCACGTCTGTATCAGAATGACTTCCATCAGTCTTCAGTTTGCTTAAAGTCAAGCTCCCAGGAAAACAGTTTCATTTCATAACATCATTTGAGAAAATCCACAGCCCTTAATACTGACATGGAAATGTTGCTGTACAGCAGAAGACATAAACTGAAATGCCTGGAATCACCATGCTCTGAGTATCTTTCCCTCTCCCTCCCTAATTAGGCTCTGGGAAAAGAGTGACTTTTTTTCTCTCCCCCACTGAGAAAGTTATGAGACTCTTTTGGTCAAATCACCCAAAAGGAAAGTTTGGAAGTTTATGTTCCTTAGAGAGTTGTCAATTCTGCTAAAGAAGATTAAATGCCTATATCACACGTGTCATATCCTACAGCTAATCACAAGAAAGAGAATAAATGTAGCATGGCCCGCGTCTAGGCAGCTACCACATATCAGTGCAGCCTAGGGGGCCTTTCAATTTCATGTGGTGTACCAGCCAAGATATTCACTCAAAAATAAGTAAGAACATCAAAAAGCCATTGTATCGCATCTTGGAATATTTCACAGTTTGAGCCCCTTGTGTAGGTCTGAAAAAAAAGATTTCTGAGTCGGGGGCAGAAGTATTTGATTTCTCTTTGATTCACTGTTCGAACCACAGAAGATGATTAAAGGCTCCTCGCTTACCTGTGAAGTTGATTTTCAGCAAGTAATCCTTGTACAACTTCTTCCCGTCCAGGATCCTCATGGCGTCGCAGAGCTTGGTGGTGTTGGGACAGAGGGTGCGCTGCATTTTGTGCAGGGCGTGGGCCATGGCGTACACCGCGTTCACCACGAACATGATCTTGGATTCTTGTTCGTAGTTGCTGCTGTCGATGGCCAGGTGCTTGTCGCAAGGGCGCCGGTGGTTGTGCTTGTTCTGGAGGCTACACTGGAACTTCTGCTCCCAGAAGTCCCGGAACCAGGGGTTGCGGTGGTTGCTGTAGGGGCTGAGGCTCTGGAAGTAGCGGTCGAACTGGCGGATGCGCTGGGAGGCTAGCTCCAGGGTGATGGCGCCGTCGGCCACGTGCTCGCTGCCCTTGACGATGCTCTCCTGCGCGCCCCAGCCGTCGCTCGCCACCCAGGTGAAGGAGGCGTTGGCGCGGCTGGCGGCGGCGATGAGCTCGCGCGAGTCGTCGCTGCGCATGAAGAGGACCACGACGCGCGCGTTGGGCTTCTGCAGGAGCTCGCGGATCACGCTGTCGTAGGACTTGCGGATGTTGGAGCGCCCCACCTTCTCCGCCGTGGCGATGCAGATGTTGCGCAGGCGGGCTTCCTGCTCGAACGCCTCGATCCCTGTCTCCCCGTAATCGCCCTCGGAGGCCACAGTGGACACGTAGGTCCAGTTGAAGAAACGCAAGATCTCGGCCATGGCTTTGGCCTGGTAGAAGTCGGGGGGCACGGTCCTGGCAAAATAATCATAGCGCGACTTGTCGCTGAGCTTGGCGCTGGTGGACGCGTAGCTTATCTGCGGGATCTGGAACAGCCTCAGCAGGTTGGCCACCTGGGGGAGGGAGACAGGGGAAGTACCATTTTTAGAAACCCGGAGGGAACTCACTGCACATGAAAGATAAAGGATAGCAGGCCTTTACCCAGCTCCCTTTTCACCTCTAGATCGCTAAGCTTTTCTGGACGCTTTGCAAGATACTTCCCTGGATTCTGTATTTGGAGTATTAGGGAGTAGGTCCCAAACAGGTAATTCAAGGGTGGGGAAAAGACAGAGAAATGGGAAGGGCACTCCTCTTTCTCTCCTAGACTTTATAATAGACGCTGGACCAGGATCAATCCTGTTCAGGTGTCCCAGTGAAGTTGTTTTAAGTTTCTGGGGTCCTCTTATAACTCAGTCTAACAATGAACTACAGTGAATTGGCCCAATTAGGTTTTTAGACAACTTGGCTGCGGTTGTATAGAAAGAGGCTGGGTGTTGTCTAATTCTCACTTCCCCCTCTTTTGCTAAAAACAGCAGTCTCTGAAAGAGTTTAATTTGGGAACTGTATGCCACATGGACAGTCCACATTAGACATTTATTATCTAGGTTAAGCCAAAACAAAAAAAAAATCCATTTTTTTTTTGGTGCATGCCAAATTTTAGGCATATACCTTTCTAAACTTCTGACGGGCTTGACCAACATTTTCTTTGCCTTTTCAACATTTTGTTTCTGTTTGGAGTATACATAGTCCAAGAATACAAATGCTATTCTTATGATATTTTTGATTAAAAAGCAAATAAGGAAGTGTCGAGGACCTGGTCAAAAAAAGAACCATTTACTTTAAAATGTTTACTTATTTCGAATAAAGAATGTAAAATTGTTATTTACCTGTCAATAATATTTCACTGTTTTTATTTATTACAGAATAAAAAAGGAAAGTGACACTAGCGTATCAAGGAGCATTTTATACTTAGAGTATTTGTGAAATTTATACGTTTTAAAATATATACACAGATTATATGTAAATCTAATAACAAGTTTGTTTTTGTTTTTCCTGGCTACCTACCTCATGTATTCTGAACATTTCTATCTTTTCACTGACTTTAGTTACATAATATACTAAGTGGACTTTAATTGGAAACAACGTTGAATATTCCAACATACTCTGCGTACTTTGAAATATCCCTTCTGGAAATTGTGGTTTCAGGTTTATATTTGACATGTAGGAAGCACAGCTTGAAATAAGCAGCTGTTAGCAAAGAGCACAAGTACTATCAAACAACTCACAGCTGAGTCCTGATTAATCATCATTTCATCTGGCAACAGAAACCAACAGCCAAATTCATACACAGCCACGTGGCATGTTCTTAGAGATCGGGACTGCTATTAAAACCAGCCCTTAATGTAGCCTAGAGCTATCAAAAATGTTTTCCATATCTTTTCAAATCCTGGTACCTCTCACATAACTACAAAGAGAACAGCAAGAAAATCTGGCGCTTAGCACACAATATAATGCAAATTTAGGATCCAGATACTTTTTGCATTTGGTAAAGACTGTTTTTTAATATATATCCTAGGATGTGAGTGAATTTTGGGGAATGGAGGTGAGTGGATGGATGAAGGCTAGTATGCCATTTACTTTTTCTTTTCTCACGCCTAGACACCCTGAACAAAATGACCTCTATTGGTTCATTTGAACAGGGGGGGTGTTACTTGTTTACTTAGCCTGATTGAGATGGCACTGAGCCAGCACTGTCATCACTTCTGTACTGAGTACCTGGCTTCTTTCGGATGCAAGTACCACTGTGGCAGACTGGTGATAAGAGCCCTGTCTGTGCATGCGCTTGGCTTGATTCTGGAGTTTCTGGGTGACACTGGAGAGGCCATCTCTTCTGGATGCTACAGTTTTCTAATCTTCAGGTTCTATTCATCAGGACCTGAACCCCTCAGGGAGGCAGAGAATGAAAGCCCCTGAAAAATGCCCAGAGGCATCATTTTCTGGCATCTAGGAAACACAGTGAAAGGGTCCTAAACTGCTGAAACTTTTTTCTCCCGGAGGGATATGAGTAATGAAAAGCTGCTGAAGAAAAAAGTTCTTGTCTTTTGACGGATAGGGTCCTGTGGCTTCATTCTACCCCTCCGGGATATCTGAGAACAATTTACAAACAAGGCAGACTGTACAAGACAGTGAAGTAACCATAGAATGATGGAAATATGGAGAAGATTCTCTGGGCTGTGAAGGAGCACAGTGAGCTGTAGCATGGGTGGGAAGATGGTGGGTTAGAATAAAACTGCAACTATTGCCATCATTTTAAGAGTAGTTATCTGATATACACACTACTGTATATAAAACAGATAATACAGACCTGTATAGCGCAGGGAACTATATTCAATATCTTGTAATAACCTATCATGGGAAAGAATCTGAAGAAGAATATATATACACATATATATCTGAATCACTTTGCTACACATCTGAAACTAACACAACTTTATAAATCAACTCTACTTCAATAATTAAAAGAATAGTTATATGTGTGTGTGTTTAATGAGGAAACTACAGCCTACTTTAGAAAAAGGAGGCATATTTAGTGAGCTAAACGTGAGAATGGAACACTCATAAAGGAGTAAGTATAATCTCAATTGTATTTCCTATATTAAATAACATGGAGCAATCATATAGTCAAAATTATGATGTTCAGAGTTACATTAGAAATACATGTGCTGCAAATGAATGATAGAACAAAGTGTTGAAGTCCTTTTGTCATGGTGAACTGTTAATTTTAAAACTAGTTTCCTTAGATTACAAGAGTAAAAATGCTTAATGTAAAAAGTAAATACTACAGAAATCAGCAGATTATAAATCTCCCTTCCTTTCCCTCCCTCACCCACCCCAACCTGATTTCTAGAGAAGAATAAAGTTCTTTGTCTGGTTTGTGCATTTTCAAAATGTTTATACTGTTGTAAAACCAGTTGCTAATGTACTGGGTATTTATGTGTATATTTTCTCCTTTGATATTCACAACTGCCTTTTATGATGAATATTGTTTTCTCCATTTTAGAGATGCACAAACTGAGTTCTGCTAGATGAAGAAGCTTCTTCATAATGATATGATTAGAAAGTGAGGGCAAAATCAAGATTCAGAAGCAGGTCTTTTGACCTTAAGGGCCCTGGCTGTCCTCTCATAACCTCCTGTCTGCTGTCTTCTGTGTGACTTCGAATCTGAGGTCTGAAACACAGAAAGACAGGAGGGAGGAACTGAAGCAGTGTTGTGGTTTACTCCATGGATCACCTAATTGCTATTAGGAGCGTCCTTTTTAACATAAAACTTAAAACTAGGGTTGGGGGATAGCCAGATAATTGTCAGCTGGGTGTTTCCTGTGTCATTTGCCTAAAAACTGGGTGTCTGAAATGTTCCTGACTTACTTTACTGGCCATATGGTTTCTTCTGTGAAATCATGAAGAAATAAGGGGACTCCTACATTGGACATCATTTTAAAAATAAAAGATCGTTTTAGGATGGGGAAATAATGTGGACTTTTGGCAGAAAGTTACCCAATTATAGTTTTAGTAGGAGTGGAGGAAGGAAAAAAGATCTAGTTATATCCTTTAGGAAAAAACCACTTGAAAAGTCGAGATATACTTCTCATGGTTAGAAACTCTAATAAAAAGGTATATAGCTTAAGAGCAATATGAAGGCTTAGAAAATAATTCAGACAACACATAATAGTCTCAATAAGACAGAAGAGACAAGACCTCCAAAGAAGCCACTGGGCTGCTAGGCTCTAATGGGGCATTTGAATGTTGAAAGGACTAGTGAGAGGATGAAAGCTGTAGGTGTGTTAGGTCCTTGGGCAGCCTCGTGGACAATGTAAAAGATTGGCAGGAACCTGTGAGGATTAGGGAGACTAAAGCACAGAATGTGAAAATGGAGTGATTTTTGTTGTTGTTATTTTTTTTAAATTACATTTTAGGAAAAGGTGTGGTGAGAAGAGATAAAATCGCTGGATGAGACAGCTGGTTCCACAAGAGTGAAAGAAAGACACTGCCCAGTGTCCTTCTTGCTCCTAAGTGAGAATGTTTCCTAACCTGGAAATGGTGAAGCAAATATATGAAAAAGTTCTCTCACACCCAAGTAGGACAGAAGACCGAAAGAAAAGCCCATAATCAATGAAGTTTGCCTCCAGCTCTGAGTTCTGGAAGATATTGCAGATTAAATTAGATAATCATTATTAATAATTTCTGAGAAACCAATAACGGGAGGACTGTCAGAGGGTAAAAATGGAGGAGTAAGGGCAAATTCAGCAAGTACAAATGAGGAATAAATATAAATCAATAACCATGATACAGTTTGGTAATTTTCTAAAATAGAGTTTCCAGTAGAGAGCAAGCAGGCACTTAGAAATGAACAAGACAGTTACAGGGAATCAGCATGGATTCACTAAGAATCAGTTTCACTAGAGTCTTTTTTTTTTTTTTTTTTGCGGTATGCGGGCCTCTCACTGTTGCGGCCTCTCCCGTTGCGGAGCACAGGCTCCGTGGCCATGGCTCACGGGTCCAGCCGCTCCGCGGCATGTAGGATCTTCCCGAACCAGGGCACGAACCCGTGTCTCGTGCATCGGCAGGCGGACTCTCAACCACTGCGCCACCAGGGAAGCCCCTCACTAGAGTGTTTTCAACATTAGTTGAACCATTTAGGGAGGAGTTGTAGCCATGGCCTGTGACTTCAACAGGTATTGGTGACATTACTTGGACTCTTGTGAAAAAGGGAAAATGATAGGAATTGGGTGAAAAAGTTAAATACACTAAAAGAGAACAGCTTGAAAGAAAGTCTGTATGAGGTGGTCAAGTGAGATTAAATTTTTATCAATGACTTTGGAAAAAGATATAAATAAGCTATAAGATCATTACATTTTAGAGCTAGAAGAAGCCATGAAGATAATCTAAGCCTTTTGCTTTATAGGTGAGGAAACTGAAGCTCCCAGAGTGAAGTGAATTTCCAAATTTTACACAACCAATAAGCAAAAAATTAAGATTAGAGCCCAGTCTCTTGATTTTTCCAAAGGTCTAGTCT